ATTTACTGTGCTGTGGCCTAACAGGCATTTACACACCTCTCCATGAGTGCTAGGCACTTTAACCGAGTTGCTGGTGGTGGTTACCTGTACCAGCGGGGACCTTGGGGTTTTTACTACTTTCTGCCCAAAGACCCTGGTCCCACGGACCAAAGACATCAGAAAGGACAGGAATCCTGTGACCACCCTCACTGCTGCTGAAGGCTTGGCCACCGTCTGTAAACTGGAATTTAATTTTTGGCTTGACAGGGCTCCCCTATTGAGACTTTAAAGGCTTGCAAATGCTGCTGTCATATCTCATGTGAAAACAAAGCAACGAGGGCTTGGCAAGGGGTGGGGAGGAGACTTACAAGGTGTCCATCATGCCAAGAAACACCATCAACAACTCATGCAGCGAAATACTGTCCTACCTCTTTCTTATGGATGAAAATGTGGATGGTGTTTCTGAAATAAAATCCTTGGCTGTTTCTGTCTCCTGGCTTATAAAGTTACATTCCACAGAGTTTAAGCACTGCAAAGCAGCGTGGGCCATTTGCTCAGAGAGCTATCATGTCTTCAGAACAAAAGATAAAAGAGATAAATAGCCAAGTACAATATTGTACCTCAACAACCTAAAAGCCAATCTCAAAATTGAATGGAAGAATGGAGAGCTTTTATTCCTTGTTTTTTAAAAGAATAAAGCTCAGCAATTTCCTTTGAAAGCTATTCAACAAGCTCCCCTAAATTCTATTACAACTTAATGTGAAATGCATCTGTTTCCATAAGAACAACAGTGGCAACGTTCATCCTTTGTAGTCTGTCCTTTGTTGTGTTTTCTATCTGTTCTTGTAGATTTTTCCACTTTAGTAAACCAAAGGCAAAACAAGAACTGATAACATTTTAGCCAGAGCATTTATTTATTAAGTTGATGTTGGAAAATCAGTTTATTCCTGCTTGCTGCCTGAATCATGCCAAATTAAGGCTTTGTTCAAGGAGTTTATAATGTAAGAAACTGTTTCGATACTGTCCCAACATTTCTGGAATGTGAAGTCTGTATCCAGCTACAGATATTTGTCTACACCTAACAGCGAAGATGGATATAGTCTCTGCATGCATGTATATACACAAACTCCTCGCTGTTACTGAGATCCAAATGGACTGCAACGACTTCAGTTTGTGTATCTTAAATCAATTCAGCATCAGCTCTGCACTGCACGATTTTTTTAGAACCTGTGCATGTAGCTGAAAATATAATATTTATCTAAGGCATGACTGAGTTGGTGGGTGAGACATTTTATCTGATGTACACTGCTTAACTGAATTTACACTCAGCAGACTGTAAGGCACATTAATTCTTAGAAAGATGTATATTTAGAAAACCTTAGACAAATGGAGACTAGAAAGAGCAAGATGTAACAAGCTTTTATTAATGTCTTGCCTGTGGAAAAAGGTAACTGATTATTTGTACTCTCCAAACCCAAATGCTGAATGCCTTGCTCATAAATACAGGAATTTAAGTTTTAGTACCTTCAGCTCCTTTAACCTTCACCATCATCACCATTATGGAATTAAACAACCTATTATTTAACATGATAATTAACATGGCTTATGTTTTTAACCTGTTTTCCCTCTCATTGTCTCTTAATCAGGTAACAGACATTAAAGAAAAGCTAAAGCTCTCTAAAAAGTTCTGGTCAACATTACCCTACACAATCTGCAAGGATGAGCGTGTGACAGCCGGTCCGTCAATTGAGGAGGACTGCTGGAACGGCCACACCAAGGCGAGGTGAGGTCGACCCTTCTCCACCGTACTCAGTCCAAATGCCCATCTGTCCCGAAGCAATCACAAAACAGAGGGCATTGCACACAACTGTTTATAAGAGTGAGGGACAAGTCTTACGAGAAACGACTGATGGAACTGGGGTTGTTTAGCCTGGAGAAGAGGAGGCTGAGAGGAGACCTTATCACTTTCTACAACTACCTGAAAGTAGGTTGTAGAGACGTGGGGGCTGACCTCTTCTCCCTGGTGACAAGTGATAGGATGAGAGGAAATGGGTTCAAGTTATGTCAGATGAGGTTTAGATTGGATATTATGAAAAATTTTTTCATTGAAAGGGTTATCAAACATTGGAACAGGCTGCCCAGGGAGGAGGTGGATTCGCCATCCGTGGAGGTATTTAAAAAAAGGATAGACGTGGTACTTGGGGACATGGTTTAGAAGTGGTTTTGTCAGGTTGGACTTGATCTTAAAGGTCCCTTCCAACCTCAACAATTCTATGTTTCTATGAAACGGAAATGGGGAGAACAAATAATTTTCCACACGTGGCTTGTAGCGGGGGTTACTTGTTGTCAAGTTGCTGCTAAAGCCGAAGTGTGAGTGAGGGCAAATGTGCACAGCGTGTCAGCATGTGAACACAGAAAATATTCATTGGTTCAGGTCTAAAAGGGTAATTTATACCACGATTTCAAAGAGCTCTTTAGCTCTATTTAGCATCCCTGTGTTGGGACTGACAGCTTGTGAAGCAATTACACTCTCGGGATATCATACTGGGATGAAACAGAAACTGGAATTTCGACTCTGTTTGCTATTGGCTGACAAAGCTTAGGGCTATTTGCCGGGGGGGGGGGGGGGTGGCGAGAAATAGCTATCAGAGAATAAATGTAACACTCCTACTTATCATGTGTGGAAGGCTTGACCTTATGTTACTTCGTCAGAGATACTGTGGTCTTCTGCCCTTGTTTGTGATGAGTTTTCTCAAACTTTTAATTTTGAAGTTTGCTTGGCTCTGGCTGTGGCAGGGCTGGAGCTGGCAGATGAGCAGGTGTCTACAAAGGTCCCAGTGTGGATTCATCA